TGACATAAATGAACATTTGCACGATATTCTAATTTTTCGAGTTTCACCTGTATTTTCTAAGACATGAAGGCTCAGACAAGTATAAAACCGTTACAAATATTTCCAGCAACTGCTGTGTATCAGGCACAGGCTCTGTTTATAACAATCTGTGTTCAGATTTCTTCAGGCTTTTTCTCCCACTCACTCTAGGTAAAGGGCTAGAAGCAGATGTCCTTTGGACAAGACATACAGTTTCCATCTGTTCCTTGTTTTCATAAAAGCCTTGGGTTGTTTACTTTTGACCATGTGAAAACTAATTTTCACAACATATTGGGTTGACACTGCTTGACACACCTCAGGTATCTTTTTTCTGATTATGTGATTGATTGTGCATCATAAGGTCAGTGTCAGCTCTTAGCAACCATATAGATTTTCTTCATGATGATATGCCCTGATATAATCTGTTTTTCAGGTCTTCCAATGGTATACTCATTGCTGCTGTAACTCAGTCCATTCATCTTGCTGCTGGTTGTCTTCTCCCTCTCTTTTCTTCTACCTTTCCCAGCATTAGAGCCTTGTCCAGAGAGCTAGGTCTTTGCATTATGTGTCTGAAGATATCTCTTTAATTTTAGTGAATAAAGTCCTGAATAAAAGAGATTGTCAGTAAATTTTTACAGAATCATTCCTCAAAATCTGGAATGCTTGGGGAGATTTTGGACATTTATAATGACATCTGTTATTTTTTAATGAATGGAGGGACACATTTATGCCAAAATATAAAGTCAACCTGTGAAACTGGTATCTTTTCCTAACCATTATGTGTAACGTTGATAGTTACAGTTCGTATTTGAAAATACATCTGGAAAGAATCCACTATAACACATAAACGATTATTATTGGACTTGCTCATTTTTAGCACAATAAGTAGAAATTGGATAATTCAAGCAGTGCAAAGAGGAAGAGAAAATCATTGAACAAATAATGAGAAATCAATTTGATCATTTTGTAGACTCTTCCCTCTTTTGTGGCTTCCATTTACAGTGACTGCAATATAACTGTAAGACTACATTGTAAAGTGTGCTGGCTGGAAAGGATTAGAATGAGGCACAAATCAGTTTATCTGGATAAGCTCTCCTTTGGAGAAATAGCCAGGCAGGAGAACTAAGCAAACAGCACAAAGAAAGGGTGGGACAGGGTGAGGAAAGAGGTGATGAACTACATTCAAATTGCAACAAAACCAGGAGAATGCCTAAAAGTTCCTTGCAGAAGGAAGCTGAAAAGCTGTTGTAGAATTTAAGAGGTAGAAAAGGTAATACTTTCCTCCCTGTGACATCTGACAAGCTGCTTTTGGAATATTTCTCATGTTTAAAAATTAGTTTTCCATTAAATGTTGCACTGGGGGTAAGACCTGCCATTCAAAGGTAACAAGTTTGAAGCACTCTTCAGCTCACTGAATACTCCAAGTGATGTGATGTAGAACATAGTTACATTCCTGATCTTAAAAGAGAAGCTGCTCTTACCTTCTTAGAACGGTTCAATGAAAAAATATCAATTACAAAATTGCAATAATTAATAAGATATAAATAAAATTTCTATATTAATTATGTTTCATTCATTAACTGTTTTCATTATTTGAATAACCCTCAATTTGCTTATTGCAATAAGGTGAAAAGGCACCCTCTTCTAAGAAATTGGCTTCATCCTGACCATGCCTCCCATAACCAAGCTTACATCAGTGAGGTTTTATATAATTATACATACCATGTATGATTGCATATAAGTATTGAGCAATTAATATGGGATCCAGATTTCTCTGTATTTCAAAAAATTGAAGCTAATATGTACATTCAGCCAAGGAGAGCCTAGGCCGTACACAGAATAACATTATTTCATCATCCCCATTACAGAATTGGGCAATAGAAACATCTGATGGAAACAAGCTATTTCAAAGTAGCTTTGAAAATAATGTGTTAAAATGAGTAGTTATACAGGAAATGAAAGCAAATGAATTTATATTTATTTTGATGTACACTGCATAAGGAATTGCAAAATAACAAATAGTATGAAATTGTACAGTGAATTCAGAA